AGTGGTTGGGCACTATTCCTTCCCCCCCCCCCCCCCCCGTCCCATCCCAAATCCTTATCCTGACCCCTTCTCATGTGCTATATAGTCGTAATGGCTTGGCCCTTTCCCCCTGATAAATTCCCTCCCAGCCTCTGATATTCTGCTTTCCCTAAACTCTATCATTCCCCAGTTTCTCCAGCTTCAAAACTCTATCATTCCCCAGTTTCTCCAGCTTCAAAACTCTATCATTCCCCAGTTTCTCCAGCTTCAAAGCTCCATCATTCCCGCAGTTTCTCCAGCTTCAAAACTTCATCATTCCCCAGTTTCTGCAGCTTCAAAGCTCCATCATTCCCGCAGCTTCTCCAGCTTCAAAACTTCATCATTTCCCAGTTTCTCCAGCTTCAATGCTCCATCATCTCCCCAGTTTCTCCAGCTTCAAAACTCTATCATTCCTAGTTTCCAGTTACAAAATTCTTGTATGCCCTCAGTTTCCTGCTCTTCCAGTACAAAGCCTCGCTCCTTGCAACTGACTCAGTTAACTCGGTAGTGAGAGCAGTTGGCTTAAGATTTCCTTTTGAGTACCTGCTAATCATCGTGATTAATCGATCAAGAATGAATAATTAATATCGGTCCATTTTCCAGGCCCGATAAATGGGCGTGAAAATTAAGTTTGGACACGTTACTCAACTTGCATAAATTATCTCATGATTTCGTTCACTCGTTTAGTTTCACATAGAATCTGTCACTTATTTATGTCATTTATTCATTCCTTAGCATTCAACTTATTAATTCTCTAGCTCATTCTCTTTGTCGCTCTACCTGTCTGTCTGTCTGTCTTTCTGTCTCTCTCTCTCTCTCTCTCTGTCTCTCTCTCTCTCTCTCTCTCTCTCTCTCTCTCTCTCTCTCTCTCTCTCTCTCTCTCTCTCTCTCTCTCTCTCTCTCTCTCTCTCTCTCTCTCTCTCTCATGCCAGCCTCCAACTGTGAATTTGAAAATTAGAAAAACAAAGTCAGATGTCTGAGTCGAGTTTCAATACTCCACACACACACACACTCACACACACACACACACACACACACACACACACACACACACACACACACACACACACACACACACACACACACACACATACACACACACTGTCTTGTGTAAAGAATCATTCAGAACTTTGTATACCACATATGTCAGGCCAATCCTGGAGTATGCAGCCCCAGCATGGAGTCCATATCTAGTCAAGGATAAGACTAAACTGGAAAAGGTTCAAAGGTTTGCCACCAGACTAGTACCCGAGCTGAGAGGTATGAGCTACGAAGAGAGACTACGAGAATTAAACCTCACTTCGCTGGAAGACAGAAGAGTTAGGGGGGACATGATCACCACATTCAAGATTCTGAAGGAAATTGATAGGGTAGATAAAGACAGTCTATTTAACACAAGGGGAACACGCACAAGGGGACACAGGTGGAAACTGAGTGCCCAAATGAGCCACAGAGATATTAGAAAGAACTTTTTTAGTGTCAGAGTGGTTGACAAATGGAATGCATTAGGAAGTGATGTGGTGGAGGCTGACTCCATACACAGTTTCAAGTGTAGATATGATAGAGCCCAATAGGCTCAGGAACCTGTACACCTGTTGATTGACGGTTGAGAGGCGGGACCGAAGAGCCAGAGCTCAACCCCCGCAAGCACAACTAGGTGAGTACAACTAAGTGAGTACAAACACACACACACACACACACACACACACACACACACTCACACACACACACACACACACACACACACACACACACACACACACACACACACACACACACACACACACACACACCTCAGTGACAATGCAGACCAAGATTTCCCAGTACCCTCGACAGGGTAGCCATCTCTCCTCACCTCTCCTCACCTCTCCTTACCTCTCCTCACCTCTCCTCACCTCTCCTCACCTCTCCTCACCTCTCCTCACCTCTCCTTACCTCTCCTTACCTCTCCTCACACCTACATGGAACATTTACTGTTGTCTCTTCACATTCGAATTACCATTCCCTTTGCCTTCGATGATGCGAAAATGTATTTTAGCAAAACGTGTCCATTAGCGACTCTTAGCATGCCCATTTTAATTGTAAAATAAGCTTAGTTTTAATTTTTTTATTTTTTGCAATATATATATATATATATATATATATATATATATATATATATATATATATATATATATATATACTAGCAGAAACAAAAACTCATTTCCCTAATGGGTTTCCAATATTATTTTTTTTTACAGTCTTAATTAATTTGCTTTAACACACCATCTGGCGCATTTTATCCGCTCGGCGAAGTCTCGGGAACAGATGAGTAGATAAAAAGCTCTGAGCGAGCCCCACGACGCTCCTGTGGGCAGGTAAGTCCACTACGGGCTCGCCATACCCCGTGCTACTGTGGAACATTTTGTCCCCCAGTAACTGAAACTAAAACAACAACAACAGCGCTCTGGCAAGCTATCTTGAGATGATTTCGGGGCTTTTAGTGTCCCCGCGGCCCGGTCCTAGACCAGGCCTCCACCCCCAGGAAGCAGTCCGTGACAGCTGACTAACACCCAGGTACCTATTTTACTGCTAGGTAACAGGGACATAGGGTGAAAGAAACTCTGCCCATTGTTTCTCGCCGGCGCCTGGGATCGAACCCAGGACCACAGGATCCTGGGTTCACTTGGAATACAACACTTGGAATACACCCACAACCCACCGACGCGACGTTCAGCAACACAACACGTACAGAAAAGGTACGTTGTAGAACGTACCAGGTACAACACACCCGAGAAGTTGTGTTGTGTGTATTGCGATACTGTCACGGTCTGTCCTTGGGCGTCCGCTTCCCACGTCGTCGGGTACGGATCCACTTCTCTTAAATTTGTTTACGAGTTCACAAATCGCTTCGTCTGCAAGACCGATTCTGTGAAATTTTCCCTTGTAAATCTTTCCCCTGATTGCATTACATCGCCATACCTTTGACACGATATGTCACAATGTGTGATCTTGTGTATATATTACTTGAGTTCTGAAAAAGAGATGAAATAGTCTAGAAATGTTTACATTTATAACACATATTAAACATGATAAACATCTGAGACACCCTGTACGGTATATTGACCTACTGGGTGTCACCATATGTATTGACCTGTTGGGTGCCATATACAATAGAATACGACGTCATTCTTAGTTCGCAAGAACAGGCAATACCTGAAACTGACGAACCATTCTTGATACACGAAAAGAAATCATTGAATTACACACATTTTGTTTACATTCGCTAGAATTTATGTCGTTTCAAGTTTTACCATTTCTACAACCCGAGTTCTACTCTCCAAAGTCGTAGTACTCCATCTAACCGCCCCACTACTTCTCTCACATGGAAATCTGGAATTGAAAGAAATACACAACGAGCATTCATTCCGCGGAAGGAATAATGAAGATGTTCAAGCGGCGACTTAATGGCACACGATATCCTAGTTCGTGAGCGTCGGAGCGGATATGTGAGAGAGAGAGAGAGATTCGGCTATCGTCCGTCTGGCGAAGTGCTCCGTCCGTCTGGCGAAGTGCTGCCTGTCTGGCGGAGAAGGTGATGGAGTGAGAGAGGCAGACTGGTATTGACTTCACCGCCGCTTTCTCCGCCAGCATTTGTGTGGGGATCTATTTCGCATGCATAAACCCGCTGCTTATTCACTGTCCTTCTGAGCTTTACTTGATCTCCTCCCATTCTCTTTCGTTCTGACTCCTCTCATACTCTCCTCTTCCAACGCCTCATTTTTCCATTCCTTCTTCATATCCACTCTCCTTACTCTCTCCTAACTCTTCCCTTACTGTTCCCTTCATTCCCACCTGTGCTACCATACACGTTTAATCTCCAAAACTTCTTTATAATGTTTACTCCCTTCTCCTTCTCTCTTATCCCCTCTTTTTCTCTCTTCTCCTTTTCTCTTCCCCATCTCCATCTGTCTCCACCTCGCTACTTTCCTCTTTTCAAGCATTCGTTCTCCCCCTTCTCTTTCGTTCTCTCTTTATCTATGTCCGTCTCAGTTTCTGTCTGTTCATCTCTGTGTGTTGTCTAATGAGGCTATTAGAGTTATTTTACAAGATTAGAAAGTACGGGACAAGAGAGAAGTTGTATGGGTTATTGCATTCTTGAGTGTCAAAGGCCATGCAACACAATTCCACACAAGAGCAGTACACTAAGACCAATATTGTTCCTGTTATATGTTTAACAGCTTGCCAGAAAGACACTGGATCATATCTGAGCTTATGGATGATGCGAAAGAAATCTTAATAAGACTGAGGAGTTTGCAGACGACCAAGCGGTACTTAATAGATGGTCGTAAAGATGGTTGCTTGACTTTAACCGTGATAAGTGTAGTGACGAGGTTTCGGTCCGTCCTGGATCACGCTAGCAGAATAACATCTGAAGGTAATTATGAGCAGATAGCGCCAAACAAGTAGCAAATTTACGTGCACTTTGAAGGGATATGAGGACAAAGATTTGGAATGAAACGGAGTGAAAGAACGATGCCCAAACCTCTTGGAACATCAGGGATCGAACGCCGACCTGTAAGAAGCGAAGACTCTGTATCTGAAGTATTCACACAAATTAAAAATATTTAGGTAGCCTTTAGGAACCTTAAAAAAAAAAGATGACTTCATAAAATGTAAACAAATTTCTTAGGTGTTTTCGTCAAACATAAGCGTAGGAACCTAGCCCATCTAACCTATCGACGACGATGCTCATTAGCCCAATACACCGTACAAATTGAGATGTCATAATTCCACTAAGATGAGCAAACCATCACCTTTAATGCTCCTTCTCTCCTCACTCGGTGTAGTGTATCCTCACGTAAATTCTTTTGTGATATTTCTCCGCAAATTCAGACTTCTGAAATCCTCGAAAATATTTTAAACAGCGGTATTTTTCAGCACAGATATTTAAAGGGAAGATATTTTCTTCTCGTGACATCTTTTAGCCTGTTCTTATATATTTATTTCTCTCGGGTGCCGCGTGAAGCCCCCTGATAGGGAATAGCTCTTGCGTGCAGCTTCCCGATGGGGCCCCCTGCGTGCAGCTCCCCGATGGGGCCCCCTGTGTGCAGCTTCCCGATGGGGCCCCCTGCGTGCAGCTCCCCGATGGGGCCCCCTGTGTGCAGCTTCCCGATGGGGCCCCCTGCGTGCAGCTCCCCGATGGGGCCCCCTGTGTGCAGCTTCCCGATGGGGCCCCCTGCGTGCAGCTCCCCGATGGGGCCCCCTGTGTGCAGCTTCCCGATGGGGCCCCCTGCGTGCAGCTCCCCGATGGGGCCCCCTGTGTGCAGCTTCCCGATGGGGCCCCCTGCGTGCAGCTCCCCGATGGGGCCCCCTGCGTGCAGCTTCCCGATGGAAGCCTTCTGTGTGTGTGTGTGTATCTGTCGGCCAAAGTGACGACACATGGGTTCAGAGTGACACAGGGTCCGAGCATCATATTAAGCCAATATGTCATGCTGCAGAGGTTAGCTAAGAGAGACCACATAAGACGAAGCTTACCAGTCTCGTGGTACCATAGCTCCAGTTATATTAATTTCCAAAACATTGTTTCTATCTTGTTACAAACTTTGTGTCTTGTTCCATTCTCAAGGAGTTTGAGCCTACAGTTCCTAAGGCGGAGTCTGAGTCTACCATTGTGTCAGGGAAGTCTGGCTATACAATCAAGTGCTCTGAACGAAGAGGACCAATCTTCGCTCGATACATTCAAGAGCGCTGAACAAATTACCGAGATTGACTTCGCTGATTTGGAAGTTTTCATCCTATTTTCAGTTTCCGGCGCCTCTCTCGTCTCTTAAACCTTGGCAGCCAAAGCACTTCAGCAGGGAAATAGTATGTTCAGATTCTTGCAGCTGTCTTCTACAGTTATTTAAATTATATATATATATATATATATATATATATATATATATATATATATATATATATATATATATATATATATATATATATATATATATTTTATACCTAGAAGGGGTACCACCTCTGGTGCAAGTGTAGGGACCCATAGCCTCGGAGAAGAAAATAAAGAGTACTCAGAGAAGACCTTGTGGATCCTCACTGAACACTTTGATATTTTCTTCTCCTACCGCCCCTATTCTTTTGGTATGTGTGTATATTTATCTAACTTTATTTGAAAATGTCATTACACAAAAAAAGTTACAATATTGATTACATGCAGGGTGCAAGGCTGCTTGTCACAAGTTGTACAGCTCTTCCAGCTCCTCAGATGGCGGGCAGGAACCATGGATATATATATATATATATATATATATATATATATATATATATATATATATATATATATATATATATATATATATATATATATATATATTACGTTCTAGGACACTTGTTTTTCGGATTTTTTTATTTTAATTATCGTTTAATTCAGGTGTGATTATGGCCATTAGGCAAAGATAAGGTAATTATAAGAAGAAACTGCTAAGCCAGTATGACTACAACTCTGCGGTACAATATAATAAGCAAGGATATGGGATATGAGGATGGAGTGGACCAGCCACTTGGGTCATTGGGGTATCGATCGCCGACCCTGTACGTTGTCACCTTAACTTAATGTGTTATATTTAACTCGACAAAATTAAAGTGTAGAGAGAGAATCACAGCCTACCCTTGCTTTATCAGCTTGGTAAACCACGAATTATACCTTACACTTACTTTGTCAGCTTGGTAAACCACGCAATATACCTTACACCTTCTTCGTCAGCTTGGTAAACCACGAATTATACCTTACACTTACTTTGTCAGCTTGGTAAACCACGAATTATACCTTACACCTTCTTCGTCAGCTTGGCAAACCACGAATTATACCTTACACTTGCTTCTCTACACTTAGTATACAACCTAAGTTTACACCAAACAAGTTGGCTAATTCTGTTGAAATATAGAGATAACCAAAGACTCACACCTATGGAGAACCGTCTACGTGCTGGGTAAATATTAAATACCTGAAATGGAAGCAATGACGACTACATAAGAGATGTTAGAGAAAGAATAAAGAAAATAAAGAAGGCAAAGGAGATAAAATTTGAGTAAAACAGGTTTCATAGGAGAAGTCTAGAAGGAAAATTTCTTCACAATCTTCGACAGAAGAAGGCAGATTCCTTCCTCATTCCCGGCAGGAGGAGGAGGAAGAGAATGAGAAGATGAAGAAACCTGGATTGGTAATATGAGGAGGCTCTGTCCTTTTGGTGCTGAAAATGTTGTTCTATCCTATCCACCAGCAGTGGATAGTGGGTAGATACCCGGGCATTGGGAACAGAAGAACTCCCAGAACCTCATCCAGGTACGCTCACCAACAGCAGGAACGGCCTAAAACAATTGTCTTACAGCCCGTTCTCACGATCGGAGGACGACATGAACAAATTCAAATAATTTTGAATTTGTTCTGCGGGAGAGGAGAGTTATCACGAACATCAGCGGAAGAAAGAGAACATCAGCGGAAGAAAGAGGCATCAAATGCTTTGTTCTGTCCACCAATAGAAGCATGATTCAATCCTCCATCGAAAAAGATAGCTTATTTCTGTCTATCTGTAGAAGAGGAGCCCTTCTGTCCAATCGAACACCGAGGGGCATAGCCCAGTTTGGTCTACCATCCATAGCCGAGAAGAGAAGACTGGATAGACATACACAGATGAGAGCCCTTGTGTAGTCCCCCAGCAGGAGCCTGACGCCCCACCATCCATCATAGTCTTGGAGACTGCGACAGGAGTGTCTGGCCGGCATCCGGCTCCAGCCGGTGTCAACACTGGTATAGTACCTCATGCTGTCATCGTCCTGGCCGGACAGAGAGGGGTGAGGGTGCCGGATGCTGGGAAAGACATGGCGAAAATAGTCTGAAAGTGAAAGAGAGAGAGAGAGAGAGAGAGAGAGAGAGAGAGAGAGAGAGAGAGAGAGAGAGAGAGAGAGAAAGAGAGAGAAAAGCGAGTGAGGCAGACAGAGATAGATGATGACGCGAGTGAGGGGAATATACAAATGCATTACATTGATAAATAGATGAGAAGAAGAAGAAGGATTAACGATGAGAGAGACAGACTCAGTCAGACACAGGCAAAAGACAGAGTCCGGTTGACACACACACACACACACACACACACACACACACACACACACACACACACACACACACACACACACACCCTTCACAAGCTTTAATTTAACCACATAACGTGCTATAGATTCGTCAAGGGCTTCACTAATTAATGACTAATCAAGTACACTCGACATTCATCACCGGAACACGGCCGATGGCTGCGCCTGCGCATTGTTACCGGCCCCCAGTACACGTCCCCTATTACCCCCACCCCAGTACACGTCCCCCTTAACCCCTTTCCAGTACACGGCCCCACTACCCCTTCCCCAGTTCCTCGCGGACGGCATTAAAGCCTGGACACGGAAAATGATTACCCGATTGTAAAGGCTTATTGCATACAAAGTTTTTGCATTACCATTGACCATCTATTAATTTGGTATTGTTAAGGATTAGCTGGATTTCCTACTCAATTACTAATTAACCTTTTCATGATAATTAACAATCTACGCACAATAATTACCTGGGCACAAAACACTGTTTATTTCTCTATAGTAATTAATTGGCCACTTTGTAATTGGGTTGAATGTTTACCCGATGAGTGTAAAGGGACATTGAACTAATGTAAACATGACGGATTTTCCATAATATCAGAAATGCAAATAGTGTCCCGTGGCGTCAGTGGCACTCAGCTCTCACCGCCAGGCGGTGCCAAGCTGAAAAACGGCCAATTATTTGTCCAATTTTTGACCAATTACCTTGACAAGTTATTTGAAACACGTGGCAGTGGAAAAAGTATATGGAACTGTTCAGTGTGATCGTAGCTGTCGTCACGTGCACGTGGTGGTTGTGTTAGGATGGTTAGGGTGAAGGTTAGTTAGGATGATTTAGCGTGAAGGTTGGTTAGGATGGTTAGGGTGAAGGTTAGTTAGGATGATTTAGCGTGAAGGTTGGTTAGGCTGGTTAGGAAGATGTGTGAGGAAGGATGAGGCAATCCCTCATCACCATAATCGTATACTTTATATAACTTGAAGATCATCCTCATGTCGCTTAGATACCATTTACTACTAATGCAAGCAATATATAATTTCCTTGCATCTTTATACTACTTACTCATTCCTCCTTCCCCTTAATCCTACGGCTCCCTCACCGTTCACTCCATTACTCATTTTCATCTAAGATGGCCCGTCCCCTCACACACCTCCATACTCCTATCCCAGCCCCCACCCCATCCGAGTCATCCTGAAGAGCCCAACAATCCTCAACACAGCCCTCGAAGCAACATCTTTCTCCGGTGGAAGAATTTATCTGTCTTCTCAACTAGGAAGAGAGAAGCCTGTGTGTTTTTAACTCATGCGCTTGGAGTCTGGATCAATTTATGAATCTATCTTCTTCCTATTTTGAGATGATTTCGGGGCCTTAGTATCCCCACGGCCCGGTCCTCGACCAGGCCTCCACCCCCAGGAAGCAGCCCGTGACAGCTGACTAACTCCCTGGTACGTATTTACTGCTAGGTAACAGGGGCATCAGGGGCGAAAGAAACTCTGCCCATTGTTTCTTTCCGGCGCCCGGGATCGAACCCGGGACCACAGGATCACGCGTCCAGCGTCCTGTCCGTTCAGCCACCGGCTCCCGATTATCTACCTCAAAAGATTCAATTAATTTAAAAAAAAATTCAGGGGGGGCGCCAATGACCATGTTGTTATTATATATCAGTTAATCACTCCAATCCTTCGCCTTCCCGTCATTCCTTGTCATTTTAACCTTTACCACATTCTCTCTCTTCCGGAAAAAAATTCAACCAATCCAAACTAGTTGACGTCCTTAAATCTGACTGACCCTCTTCACTCTCAAAAATAAAAATAAAAAAATCCGGCCGAGCAGAGTTTGACCCTCGTGTGCTCCTGTGTTGATACAGCTTTGTTGATCTAACATTTCACCAAACATCGAGCTGCGACCATCCGTCCTGTGTTTACCGAAAGTCCAAGGCAGCCTCCACTCCGGATGAACCAATTATACAAATCAAATTGACTTTTCCATTGGCATATTCTGGAATAAAAAGCTCGCGTCCATACAGTGGTGTGTGTGTGTGTGTCTCGATGGAATGGCTGTGGGAAGAGCCAGCGAGCTCTCCTCTAAGTAGCCAGAAGGTGAACTCATAAGGCTTTTATATTATTAACAAATATGCCAGGGCTTTGTTCATGTTATATTTTTGTATACAATCCATGGATTCTATATATATTATTAAAATGCAATTCATTCAAACCATTTAGGTGTGTCTGGTGGGCATTGTACAGTCGTGTAGCATAGCTTCATACCTGTTCTCTTCTTGGAGAACTTTGCTCAAAGCTGGCTCAG